AAAAAAAGAGTGGATATTTTTCAATGATCCCTTAATCAAACCTAATTTCCTAGGATTGATATTTTGATTTTTGCTCAGTATTTCATCAAATCCCTACATTTAAATTGCATTAATCTCGTATTCTGCTTCCCAGTCAAGAAAAGGTTCCCATGTTGACTACTTAATAATTTTATTGCGACAACATTTCACAGAAGTTATGAGCCCAAGGTTAATTTTTAATGATTTTTACTTACTAGCTAAAATTTGTTTTGTACAGATTAATAAAAGCAGTTGAGTGTGAAATCAGGGGTAACTTGAAATCACTACCCAGAATGGTTTCTAAAGTTGTGATAGATAAGATATATTGAATGTTCAGACTGGAAGAGGTTATGTGACCATGTCAGATGTTTATTAAATGAGGTTATGCAATAAATGTGGGCCAGAAGGTAGCTAGTGACAATCCACCTTGTACAATATAGGATTCAAGATACAGCACGCAAAAGTTAATTACGGTATTTTTATTATTAGTAAGTATGAGAAAAATTAGAACACAATGATCCAAATAAACACTTTAGCAAACAAATTTGAATCTAATTAGTGTTCAAACAGGTAACTAATAACTCCTGCCCCTAATGAGATTAACCCTTGTATTTCTCACGTACATTTATCATAAAGAAGTAAATAAAATAAATACATCAGCTAGTAAGGATGTCTCATCGGGACGTGAAGAGTACAGAAATGGGTAACTGGTTATTTCCAGCACTGACATCAGAAGGGGCACACAAACAGAAGACCCTCATTCAAGATAATCACTTTCCTTGGTCCTGTCAGACATCTGCGCGTCATCACAGTCATGTCATAAATTATCAAACTAATTTATCTCCGATGCATGGGCACACACAAAAACGATGTCCTTGATTACTAGTGACAAGGCTCACATGTAGATTTTCACAGAAACCACTCAATTCTTCTTATAAAATACATCTTAGTCGATTCCATATAACTTACCTTGTGCTTGCTCTCCTACCTTCAGAACCTGTGCAAAACAGTAAAAACATAATATAAGAGCAAGTCAAATAAAAATCTGACAACAATTACAATTTGTTAACCCATAATGAAAGAAAAATCTAATTTATTGGTTGAAATGTGGTTCTCACAGCTATGTTTATTCAAATTTTATGTGAACAAACACTGTTCATGACCCTCATGTATATATATTTTTAGTTATGGGAGCCTTATCGAATACACCACTGTTGCAATGACTACTGCCTTTTATAAATTATGACAGGTAATACAAATAATTTAAATCAATGCGAAGTATCACATACACCAAATAAGGCAATAACTCAGACTGCCAGGAATTGCATAAATAAACCAACCACTATCTATTTAGCTCGTACAGGTAGACTAAAATAAGATCTGTTTAGCATTTATAAAAAAAAAATTAAAATGGTTACATGGGCCAAACGTTCCATGACTAAACTGTTTATATAAATGCTGACCATTGTAACAATAGACTTTGAAATGTATATTTAAAATATACTCATTAATTTTTCTTTCTAATATTTGAATTGTGAAGAATTTCAAAATGTATGAATTGATTTGACACGAAGTACACATTTGGTTTGAATGAAAATAAACTTAACATTTGCAAAAAGGTTTAGGCGGTTCATGTCGCCTGGTAACAAGACTCATCCTTGAGTTAAAGACTCCCTGTCGAAGCTAATAATGATATAACTTGGTCTACTGTTCAAAAAAAAAAACACATAAAATGTCTCAAAACACAGTGAAACATACTGTACAAAAAACAAGCAAAAAACATGTTGCACAGCGATGATAACCTCTCAGCCGCAGGTGTTGCGCAAGAATACCCAATATCGGGCCCCATCGACAACCCACTCTTTGTCTCAAACGACTACCGATTTATAACTACGAACCGCAATACTAAAGTTCAATTTTAAAAACAGAAATGTGCAAGGACTTTGTTGAAATCGTTCATCACTTCACATTTACCATTTGTATGCGACCCCGGTGCTGACTAAAATTATCAATGGTTTGAATCATTATATATACTTACAAAGGGGCCCTGTTAAGGTTGACCAATATACGTGATAACAAATTCTCGAACGACAACAAAAACTATCACCTATGTACATTTCTGACATATATATCACACACATGATACGATATATGACAATTTAAAAGATACCATTGCTAGACACGTACCTTTTACCATAATTTACTGCCAGCCATCAACCCTGCAAATCAAACATTATCAAAAGACGATGGTCAGCAAGGTCAAAGTTATGATTATCCAACGACACAAGCATACTGCCAACCTAAAGTTCTCCGACAACAGTACACCGACGAAAAGACCGCGTCGGTGTCGAATGTGTTGACAGGTTTCGACAGACTTCTAAACTTACCAACTAAAAATGCATTGGAACAGCGGGATACCCACAACAGCATGCGTATGTAAACACGTTTGGGTATATTGCGTCTAAAGTATAGAACTGGGTTCGACTTATGTCAGTTCGTATACACCACCGGATGTTCAAGCTAACCGGTTTGAAAAAACAGCGATTTGAATGTGTTCGCGATGACGTCACTTGTCAGTCAACTGTCAATTTGTAACAAGAGAAAACAAAGCGCGCTAAGGTTCCGTGTGCAAAAGGGGCCCAATTGCGTCTAAATTCGGCGGATTATGTCGCGCGCTTGTGGTCACAATCCTGAACTCAGCTCCTCCTTTTTGTATTACCCTAATTTAAAACGCACATATTAACCCTAATGCACAATGAAATCGTCAGGTCGACACAAGTTATGTTGCTACCTTCAAATTATGCTTAGCTGACATTCAAATATGGAACGAAACAGCAGCATGTTTATGTTATGCAATATTGTAAAATAATTGAAATAAAATAAAGCCAACATTCTCCCTAAAAAAATAACCAATGCATATAATCTTCTTAGGTTTATATGCCTCAGCTTGCTAATTAAAACGTCACACATATGCAAAGCAATTACGGATTTAATGGGGCTCTCAAGCAATAATTTTGCATGTCCACATAGTTACTCCACGCCTTGTGCAGCTCATTGTCAGAATTGGCATGCTGTCAGACGCCCACGCAAAATGAAACGTCAATGCGTGATGTGGAGTAGAAATTATGGTAAGGAAAAGTCTAACACTTGTGTCAAATATTAGCAGTTTTGAAATGTTAAATGACCTTTGAATCAATATCTGAAAATGATGCAAATTATTTGAGAGCCAATAATGACAACACATGCACCCCTAAATCATGTTGATACATTGTACATTTCCGTGAAATCTATTCATTCTTAAAAAAACCCTACAACTTCATTGACTACATATTTGTTTGATAATATACCTACCCGTGTTACCAGGGCATGATGTCGCAGAACAAGACCAGAGTAAAATGTTGAATGTTTCCTCCCTGTGAAATAGCTGGGGCCAATTGCTCATGAATATTCATTACCAGGCGTGGCTACTATAGCGCATTCTATACATATTCGCGCGCTGCACCTCAGCTGGTATTCGTTATGCAGCGCGTGTTTGCTCTTGTAACGATTAGCGTCACCCCCGTGCTTAAAGTACATACTGGTTTACCACTAGTTTGCAATATTGTCACACGGAGTGGCAACAATGGTTCATATCCTTAGATCACGTTTTCATGTGGAAACAATATTTAAAAATTAAATACACAACACAAAATAGGATTTTTGCTGATTTTACTATTAATCGAGCATGGATATTAATCGCCATGTTGATAATAGTATGTCAATATCCACACTAGTATATATTTGCACAGTGGAGAGTCTGGCATGTGTGGCATATGGGTATCGATACATTACCAACGGGAAACTGCATCCGAGCCAATTTCATTAATCATTTCATGTTTAGCAAATTACCAATTATCACCCTAAATCCGTGTCACATATGTATAACTGGCACTTAGCAAGTACATTCCCGGTAAAAAAGGAATGGCCTTGACCCATGAGTAGTTTTGTGTGAAGCATATGCACCGATATAATAGGATCTTCACATATACGGATGTCTAATCCGATTTCTGGTAAGCATTTTTACATATATAGTAGCTCTTGATATATCCTTATACCACAACTTAAATAACGACATGACTCACTATTTATATGGTTGTTAACATTTTTAGTAAAACCCATATGTAGGCCCCATATATGTATGTCTATCAATATACAAAACAAGAGTTTAAAAAATAAATCCGGAATCAGAAAAAATAAAATAGAATGTTTTTTTATTCTCGCTAATTGTTGTGTTCCTTATTATATATATATTACTTTTTTACAGCACTGAATTTTTCTGTTATTTTTTATTGCTGCCATATATCATCATCAGTTTTGGTATAGCCCCACGTTCTTATTGCAGTCATGTGGAATACAAATTCCACGTCCAGCGGAATTGAGAACCCATCTTTGAACATTCAATTGGGGCCACGATCAGCAACAAGACACCGCGGGTCAGCAAATATCTGTACTGGAAATAATTTGACAAAATCTCAAATCATGCGTACGCACATTTGAAACAACAGGGAACTGAAAAAAATGCATGGCAAAACAAGGAAGTAAAACGACAATGTATAAAAATGTCATTCTAGGTTTGATTTCCTACAACCCGAATTCACGCAGTCATTAATTCAATTTAGCTATATATAGTTATATATTCATATTAATTCCGGTAGTAGGGATGCAGGTCATCGTCCATAATTATAATACCTGGGATACCGTAGACACGAATGAACGGAGAATCGAAATGCTGTAGCTTAGTAGCACAGTTAACATGTATTGATTTACTATACACACAACAATGTTATATCATGTAAATCTTTCTCCAGATCACAAACTTGCAGTATGATTCCCTGAT